TTTTTTTTTTTTTTTTTTTTTGTCCTTAGTAATTTTTGGTCTGTTTGTTGAATCGGCTTCTGAAGGTTTCTACTATGCTTGTGGATTTGTCAGTTTCTTTCATTCTGTCAGTTTCTGTTTCATGGATTTTGAAGCACTGTTGTTATAGATGCTTATACAAGTTCAGGATTGCTCTTTCATTTTTTTTTAGAAGTTTATGTATTTATTTTGAGAGAGAGAGGGAGAGAGAGCATCCCAAGCAGGCTCTGTGCTGTCAGCGTGGAGCCCGACTTGGGGCTCGATCCCACAAACCATGAGATCATGACCTGAGCTGAAATAAGAGTAAGACATTGAACTGACAGAGCTACCAGGGTGCCTCCCATTTTTCAGTCATTATGTAAAGATCATATTTATCCCTAAAATTTAGTTTTGCCTTGAAAGTAAATGATGTTTTTCTGATATAAATATTGCAATACCAGCTTCTTTCAAATACTGTAAGTCTGGTGTCTATTTTTCTCACCCTTATTCTCAATTTTATGTGTCATTACATTTAATGTGTAGCTCATGAAAAAAATAGATATTTTAATTCATTCTGAGATTCTCTGGCTTTTGATGTATATTTGGCATAATCTATATTTTCTTTATGCTGTGATTTTTATTTGGACTTATTCCTCTCCTTTTAGGTCTTTTTATTTCCATTCTCTCCTGCCCTCCATGTTTAGGAAAGTTATAGATTCTTTTTATTTATTTACTTTTTATTTTAAAGTGAGAGAGAGAAAGATTGTACAAGTCGGGGAGAGGGGCAGAGGGAGAAGGAGAATCTTAAGCAGGTACCACACTCAGTGTGGAGCCCCACATAGGGCTAAATCCCACGACCCTGGAATCGTGACCTGAGCCAAAATCACGAGTCAGACACTCAACCAACTGAGCCAGGCAAGTGCCCCAGAAAGTTGTATATTCTGATTATCTTCTCCTAGTGGTGATCCTTAAATTTTAAAAATTGGCTTAACTTGTATGTCAGTTATATCTCAATAAAGCTGAAAATTTTAAAAATTGGCTTACCTTAATAGAGACTAAAATTAATCACACCTCCATTCTTGTAATTGTGGCTCTCTGTAGATTATGGTGTAAATTAAGGGAATTCAGAAACTGTTGTGGCTGGAAGAATGTTAGAACATGTTATTCACACATCTTGTCCCACAAACCAAGAGACCCGGGCACTGTTATGTTCTAAGGCTGACACAAAGACAGATGTTTCCAAAATGGTTTTATAAGCCAAATGTGCAGTAGCTTCCCCAGTGTCCTTCCAGTACTGCCCAGTCCCATAACTGTGTCAGTATATGTGTGTGTGTGTGTGTATTGAATTATATATTTATATAGTAATATATATCTAATTATGTATTTATAATTATGTAACAAACATATAATTATATATATATGTGTATGTGTGTGTATACTGGGTCCCATCATTGCCTTAGTGTTCAATATTCCATTATTTATACCATTAGTAATAAGTCCAGCATGATGCTAATTCCATTTGAGAAATGCTTAGGGCATTCTAAAGCAATTAGAATTATCTGGATCCCCACAATGGAAAAGGACCACCACCCAGAAGGGACAAGTCATTTGGCAAATGTTTAACCATTTCTATTCCTCTCCACTCTGAGAAAACTTGGTAGGGATTGGAGAAGGATGGCTGATTCATCGTTTTAGTTTATGATTAATCTCAGGTCTTAGTTTGATAACACATATTAATCAGCATAAAGTCCTTTTCTCCCCCAATAGTTGTATGGGAAAAAATGTGTATATGTAGGTGGTGTGTACATTCTTACAGTTTTACAGAGAAAATGACTGTTCCTTTCATCACATTCTTCAAAACCTTAGTGAAGTTTGAAACCCATTAGTTGTCATTGTCTTTTAGATCCTACACTTGAGCTGACTCCTGGCAAACGCTCGCCCTCATCTTCTGAATTCGTAGTTCAGTTGCTCCTGGAGAAAGTGTGTCCCCTCATCTCACTTGTTTGTTTTCTCTCTTTTAAAAGCTTCCTTCCTACCAGCTACTTTAACCATGACTGTGGACAGGGGAGATAACGTGAACATATCTTTCAAAAAGGTGTTGATTAGAGAAGAAGATGCAGTGATTTACAAAAATGGTGAGTATGTGTTTTGTTTCCTTCCAGCACCATGATGTGAGACATCAGATAACGCAAAATATGTTGTTGGATCATTACCCTGGTGCAGTCTGGTGGGCAGATGTTTGAAGTAAAGCGCTATGATGCAAGCCCATTGAATTTTATTAAAGAAGCTCTAATAGGCAGTGTGGTTGGTTGCTTCATCAAGCAAAGTACAGATTCATATACATATATGAATGTACATACATTTTGTATTTATGAATGTGTAATATGGAATTGTGAATGTACAATAAAACCCCATCATGATGTGATAAGTGAGGTCCCAAATCCAGCCATGTAAAATGTGAGGTTGTTTGATTGAGAGGTTAAGGAGATGACCAGGCTCAGACTGGGAAGCCAACTGGCAGTGGTTCTGGGAGTCCAACTGTGCTGTACAAATCTGTCCAGGTCCAACTATGGGTTTGGCACCACCTGGTGGCAGTTGCCGGACCCAGGTGAAATATTGATGGGGACTATTCTGAGTCCTATGGATGGATGGGACTTCCAGATTGGTGTAGTGATTCTAGGTATTTATCTCCTGGTTACTTGGTTTGTTGGCAGGGGTACCTTTGCCTGTTCATCTCTCCCTGCAGAAGATAAGCACTTTAGCTTTACCTCTGTCTTCGTATGTTTGGTGGTAGATTGCGTAGACTAAACTGTCTGCTCTCTCACCGTACCTTTCTCACTTTTTGGGAGAGCATTGAATAGCTCAGCCTTTTCATTCTTCTCCTACATCCACTATGCTAGAGCACATTTTCTGTATCCAGTCAGGGAGAGCTGATGAAGTGGAGAGGCCAGATGGGGAGACAGGAGTGTCTGCGTGTGACCCACTGTTCTCCACCTTTCTCCCTTCACCAGGTTCCTTCATCCACTCAGTGCCCCGGCACGAAGTACCTGATATTTTAGAAGTGCATCTGCCTCATGCTCAGCCCCAGGATGCTGGAGTGTACTCAGCCAGGTACATAGGAGGAAACCTCTTCACCTCGGCCTTCACCAGGCTGATAGTCCGGAGTAAGTGATTGAGAGGCCACAGTCTGTGATGATTTGGTTTTTAGGATTTTTAGTTACAAGTAACAGAAGCTGACTCTGGCTACTTAAGCAAAAACCAGGGATTGGTTGAAAGGATATTAAGGACTCTTAAAAATTGGTGGAACAGCTGACAAGCAAGTTTCCAGAAAAGATAGGCCCCAGGAAGGATCTGGGGCCCAGCATTGGTGGGGGCAGATGGACTTTCTCTCTAGGATGCTACTCTTAGCCTAACTGTGCTTCAGCAGTGTTTCTTTTACTTCCAAAGTTTGAATTCCCAGGGTAAAGAATCAGACTGGCGTAACATATGCTAGATGTCTACTGGCCTAGACCAATGAGCTATAGTCAAGTGCGGAACCACTTACCACAGTGCGGGCCCTAGGACCTCCCACTTGAATAGCAGCATCATTCCATAGGAAGGGGGAATCACAGTGAGTTGGGCAGTCTCCCTGAAAGGTATCTGCTACGTGGGGAGGAATTGGGTCTTCTAGGTAGGTCTAATATGTAAACATTAAGTCTCCTATAAATCCCACACTTTCCAGATCATGTAACACTCAAATGGGATTTCTGTTTTCATGTTTGAAAAATGTGCATGAAGTAAAACTAGTAAAAGCTCCCCCACCCTCTTACAACTACCAAAGTGGGGAGTAACCATCCACCATTAGTTTTTATAAGAGATTGATTTATAGAGAGAAAAACTTGCCTTGAATTTTCCCGGCTCTGCCAAGCCTTCATGCTCTTAAATACCCAGGCCTAAGTATTTGGGCCACTCTGTCATTCTAATGATCGGAATCTCTTAACTCATCAACAGTTTTGCTTTTGCTTTGCATTATATTCATTTATTCATTCGTTTGTTCAACAAATGTGTATTGATCATAACTCTGTGTCCAGCATTGTGTTGGTATGAAAATACAAGGATAATAAGATGAATCCCTGTCCCCTCGGAATGGTAGTAGAAGTATGAAAAGTGTGGTTCATCTGGTTTGGTCAAGTGAAATCTGCTTTTATCCCACTGCTCTCATGGAGAGTCCAAATGGCAAAAGCACAGTTTATCTTCATTTCATTTAGATGTACCAGCAGTACTCAGAGTCTGGGGTATGTAGGCACATTTTCTAGCAATATCAGAAACATCAGATGTTGACCTATGGTAAAAGACTTAACTTTCTTTTTCTTATGTTTTTAAAATTTATTTATTCTGAGAGAGAGAGTGAACGTGCAAGTGGGGGAGGGGCAGAGAGAGAGAGAGAAAGGGGGGGTGGGGCGGGCAGAATTCCAAGCAGGCTCCGTGGTTGTCAGTGCAGAGCCCAACCTGAGACTTGATCACAAACCTCAAAATCATGACCTGAGCCGAAAACCAGGAGTCGGACGCTTAACCGACTGAGTCATCCAGGTGCCCCTAACATTTTTTTTTTAAATGTGAAAACAAACACAACTTAATGTAGACTAGAATTTGAAACTCACCTGATTTTTAAAGATAAAGTGAAAGATTTCAAACACATTTTGATCTCTAGCTTATACCTTGAGATTGCTAGAACACATGTTCATTCCTTTGCTGTTTTTAGGAGTATTTTGGTGGAAGTATTTGAGAAGCATGGATAATATCTAAAATCGTTCTAAGAAAGTTTGAGTTAGGCTACAACCCATCCCATTTAAGAGTATTTTTCCCCAGTATGATTTATTTGATATTTTAAGAAATGATGTAAAGGGGCACCTCAGTCGGTTGAGCGTCCAACCTCAGCTCAGGTCATGATCTCACACTCCATGAGTTTGGGTCCCGTGTTGGGCTCTGTGCTCACAGCTCGGAGCCTGGAGCCTGCTTCGGATTCTGTGTCTTCCTCTCTCTCTGCCCCTCCCCTGCTCATGCTCTGTCTCTCTCTGTCTCAAAAATAAAGACATGAAAAAAAATTAAAAAAAAAAAAAAAGAAAAGAAATGAGGTATAGCCGAAGGCATTTGTCCATTTGTCATAACTGTAGGGTGTCTCTCTAGGATGAATTGAAACCTAGGAATAATCGATGCATAAAGACTTCGTGTTAAAAATCACACCGGTTATATCTATAGGATTTCTCTCCAATATAAATTCTCTCTCTGACAAAAGATCTCTCACAACCATTGAGTTTATAGGATTTCTCTCTGTATGCATGAGTATTTGGTTTCCTGAAATATAAAACCTCAGGGTGTTTGAAGAAAATCATAGAAGCCTGATTGCATACTTGTTGCTCATCAACAAACTCTTTACCTGGCTTCTTCATCCCCAAGAGGTCACCCCAAGTCTTTCCCCACTCTTTATTCTTTCACCCTTGCCAGGATTAGGGGAGAAGCTGGGACAGGTCTATAGAGAAGTATATAGTTAGAGACATAGTTTAATATAAGAGGAAGCCCACTATCATCTCCATAGGCTGCCATCATTAGTTTTCAACATGTGCAGATAACATGTGGTCTGGCTCTCAAGAAATCACTAATCGTGCAGAAGTATTTTTCCCTTTATATATTAAGGCATGTAAATATTAGCTTTTAGACATTTTGTAGCTTTATCTATTAAGTGGAAGTCTGTAAGAAAGGGTCTGGGTAGACAGTCTTCCTGCTTATTTCAGAGAAAATACTGATAACCAGGAGTTCTTGCCAAAGCAGTTATAAAGTTACATCAGCTGTAGGCACAGGTCCAAGCTTACCACCGTGAGACTAATATTCAGGGATAAAGACACTAGTTGCTTTCAGATGAGAAGTTAAATTCCTGACCACAAAGGGTCATCCAAATCCCCCTGAGTTTTTTCCCTTACATCAGAAGGTGTCCTTGGATGTAATTAACCATCGAAAATCACCTGGTGCGATTTTCCATGAAAAAGAATCTAGAAGCATTTTACCATTCTTGTATTTTAGGTTCTGTGTGTCTTGCTTCACTTCTTGAATGTTCTTGAAAAACTAGGTGAATGCTACTAGCTTCTGCTTGCTTTTTTAGCTGACTCTTTGCTCTACGTACTTTAGACTGGAGGTTTTCACACTCTGGCATGCATTATCTGGAGGACTTGGTAAACATGGTTGCTAGACCACCTCCAGGGTTCTCATTCATTAGGTCATGGATGGGGAGTACGTTTGAGGTTGGCATCTCCAGCAGATTTCCAGGTACTGGAGAAGCTGTTGGTCAGGGATCACACTTTGAAAACCATTGCTCTATCTGTAACCATTCCCGCAGCTCTTGAACACGCCAGGCTTTCCACCCCTATCTCACTTTTGCTCGGAACACACTCTGCAGCCTGTCTTCTTGGCTAATTACGTGGTCCTGCAGATTCAACTCACACACACCTTCTCTGGGAAGCCTTCCTGTGTATCCTCTTCCATCCCCAAGACAGGATTAGATACTCCTTGTCTTTATTTCGATCCTTATTTCCTGTTTCCATGTCTGTTTTTCATATAAGACCATTAACTTTTAGAGAGCAAAGATTATCTTCATTTACCAGTGTCCACTAAAATGACTGACAGGTCGTGGGTGCCCAGTAAATGTTGGCTGAGTTAATGTGCTCTACTCACCAGAGCCTTGTTTTCCTTGAAAGGATGTGAAGCTCAGAAGTGGGGACCTGAATGCAACCGCGTCTGCACTGTTTGTATGAACAACGGTATCTGCCATGAGGATACAGGAGAATGCATTTGCCCACCTGGGTTTATGGGGAGGACATGTGAGAAGGGTAAGTCAAGAGTACTTGTTGAGTAAGTTGTAGATTTCAAAAGCCGTCATTGCTGGATTTAGAATTCGAACCCTGGACACAATTGGGAACAGAAACTAAATGGCTTGTGTTAGGCCATATGGTAACTTGGTGTGAATTGGAAAAAGGTATCCTTTCCTAGAGGTGCTTGATTGCCGGCCACTGAAAAGCTGTCCATGCCACAGCTGAGATTGGCTTATTTTCCATATTCACAAGCCTAGGAGAGACCCTTTAAAAGAAGACTCCTACATTCCAAGGGGTTGACTGTTTGACTGTGAGTCCTCTTTTCCTTCCCCTCCAAGCTTGCGAACTGCACACATTCGGCAGAACTTGTAAAGAAAGGTGTAGTGGACCGGAGGGATGCAAGTCGTATGTATTCTGTCTCCCAGACCCCTACGGGTGTTCCTGTGCCACAGGGTGGCAGGGTCTGCAGTGCAATGAAGGTACGTACCAGTCACACCCCTGAACAGAGAAAGTTCTAGCAGGTATACCAAGGAGGTCCAGCTTGCTGGAAATAATAGTGTGGGATATACCCGGGCTGTCCAGTCAGCGGCCCAATGCTGGGCTACAGGGTTTTGAATCACGGATGTTTTCATCCGAAGTTAATTATGTTTTCACAATTAAGACTCTGGACTTTATAGAATGTACTTCTCATGCATATCACCTGGGGTTCTTATTGAAACACAGGTGCTGATTCCATAGGTCCGGACTGGCACCTGGGCATCTCTGTTTCTAACAAGCTCCCAGATGGTGCTCATGCTGTTGGTTTTCAGACCACACTTGGAGTTGGAAGGCCATAGAGGATTTGTTTTTTCAGTGGGATATAAATATCAGGACTCTTAGGCCCGATCCAGACAGGATTTGGGATATGAAAATAGAGGAAGGTCTTTTCTTCTGTGGACCTTACTTAGGCAGTACTAACTTCACCTACTCAAAGGGTCCCTCTGCCCTTTCTAAAATATACCTTCCTGTTCAGTGAGACTGAGTGGTATGTGTTTCACATCTTTCAAGTACGGTTTCACACGTCCTGTGATACAGTAGCTTGCCACGAACACGCAGTCAAGGTTGCCAGACCCTCTCTCATGAATGCTAATATGGTGAATTCACCATAGCTCCAAGGGTTGTCAGTATTTACCTCACAAAATCAGCTGCTTCCACATCTGCCATATTGAGAACTATGATGGAGTCCTGGTGATTTGGTAACAATGTTCTGGTGCAGAGCAGTTCAGTAGAAATAGAAGCAAGCCGCATATGTAACTGATAACTTTCTCGTAGTCCTCTTTAAAAAAAGTTAAAAGTAACAGTGGATATAATTTTTAGGATTTTATCTCGCCCGATAAATAGCTTAGACAAAACTAGCCACCCACAGCCTTAGTTTCCCCCTTCCCCCGTGGTAACGGTGGTTCTGGTGTCTTTGTCTGCAGCGTGCCAGCCTGGTTATTATGGGCCAGACTGTAAGCTTACATGCAGGTGCAGCCACGGGGAGACGTGTGATCGGTTCCAAGGATGTCTCTGCTCTCCAGAACGCCAAGGGCTCCAGTGTGAGAAAGAAGGTAAAGCAAGGTAACACTGTAGTTCGGGCCATGTTCAGCATGTCTGAGCTGAGCTTTGCTGGTTATAATTCTTGCCCCAGCAGCCCACATTCCTCAAGCCACTTCTATTTCCATCCTGAAGGTGGGAAGAATATATCCCGAGTCCTAAAGGACACCATTCTAGTTCTCTTATGCAGGCCCTCATTGTGGCCTTCGTTTCTCCTTCCACTAGGAGTAAACCATAGGCACTTTGTGGCACATTCAATGATGACTGGGTAGCTGAGGGCTCTGCCTACCTCTTGTCCCTTCTCTGGGACCAGTCTTTTCCCTGGATATGCACAACAGGGAAGAACTGCTTTGGAGGGATTTGGATGCAGGCTATTTTTGAAAAGCAAGATATAAAAAAGAAGGAAAAACAAAAAGATTACCCTCAAGATGAAATTTTAATAATTCTAGTTCAGAAATTACCCTAGAGCAAAACCTGACCCACAGACCAACTCCAGCCCGCTCTTTTTTTTTTTTTTAATGTTTATTTATTTATTTGGAGATATATAGAGAGAGAACCAGTGGGGAAGGGGCGGGGGGGGGGGGTCAGAGGATCCGAAGCAGGTTCTGTGCTGACAGCAGAGAGCTCGATGTGGGGCTTGAACTCATGAATTGTGTGATCATGACCTGAGCCAAAGTCAGCTGCTTAACCAACTGAACCACCCAGGTGCCCCCCAATCCACAATTTTTACAGCTTTATTGAAGCAGAATTTTTATTCATGAAGTTCATCCCTTTTAAATGTACAGTTCAATAATTTTTTTGGTATATTTAGGGTTGTGCAACCATCACCGTAATCTAATTTTAGAATGTTTCTGCCATACCAAAAGAAACCTTGTACCTACTGGCTGTAACCCCCATTTTCTGCTCCTCCCAGCCCCTGGCAACCATTAATTTACTTTGTTTCTGTAGATGTACTTATTCTTGACATTTCATAAACTGTAAGTGGAATTATACATTATGTGGTCTTTTGTGGCTGGCTTTGTTCATTGACTATGCTATTTTGAGGTTTAATTGTATTGTAGCATATATCAGTGCTTCATTCCTTTTTATTTCCCTACCATCTGTTGTTATAAAGAAAATTTTGGGGCGCCTGGGTGGCGCAGTCGGTTAAGCGTCCGACTTCAGCCAGGTCACGATCTCGCGGTCCGTGAGTTCGAGCCCCACGTCGGGCTCTGGGCTGATGGCTCAGAGCCTGGAGCCTGTTTCCGATTCTGTGTCTCCCTCTCTCTCTGCCCCTCCCCCGTTCATGCTCTGTCTCTCTCTGTCCCAAAAATAAATAAACGTTGAAAAAAAAAAAATTAGAATCAGAACAGATATGGGAGGAAAATACCAACGACTGTTTTCCCAAAGGCTTTGGCTGAGCTTTCCATGTTCACTTCTTTCCGCCATGTTCGGACTCTACTGCAGAGTAGGAACCTGGGAGAGTCTAGGAAGGGAGGGAAAGGTCTTGGGGCTGCCGGAGGATCGTGTTGAAAATAGGCAACTGAGAAGCTGAAGGATCTGGATTTTCAATTTTATGCCTGCTTTTCTGTTCTAAGTCTGATGTTGCAAAAGGCGTGAGAACCTCAGGCCCAGACCCTGCCCCCCTGGCTTTCAGAGAGCAGTCTCCTTCCCCCCAGTTCTGCTCTCCCTCCCCCTGCACCTCTGACAGCAGGAAACACAAGGCAAAGATGAAGGAAAGACTTCACTGGATTAAAAGTATGGAAGCACTTTTGGGACACCTGGGTGGCTCAGTCGGTTAAGCATCTGACTCTTGGTTTCGGCTCAGGTCATGTTCTCACGGTTCTCAAGGTTGAGCCCTGCATTGGGCTCCACTCTGACAGTGTGGAGCTTGCTTGGGATTCTCTCTTTCCTTCTCTGTCAGCCTCTCCCCAACTCGCTCTCTCTGTCTCTCTCTCAAAAATAAATACACTTTATAAAAAATTAAAATTAAAAAAAATATCAAAGCACTTTTTAAAATTCCTACTCGAGTACCATCTGATGTTGAAAAATCTGGTAGATTCTTTCTTTTTAAATTTTTTTTTAATATTTATTTTTTGAGAGAGAGACAAAGACAGAGAGAGCGCGTGAGCGTGGGGGAGGGGCAGAGAGAGAGGGAGACACAGAATCTGAAGCAGGCTCCACGCTCTGAGCTGTCAGCACAGACCCCGATGCAGGGCTCGAACCCACACACCGTGAGATCATGACCTGAGCCGAAGTCAGCCATTTAACTGACTGAGCCACACAGGTGCCCCCAAAATCTGGTAGATTCTAATCATAATCCCTTCAAGTCTACAGATATATCAAGTAATTACCTCTGCCGTTATTAGACTTCTTTCCCTCCTGCTCCATACCCTTTCCTCATCATAATCTGGGCCCGAGAAACAAGATATCAATATAAAATATCAATATTATGTTTACTGTGGCCTCTCCCTGCCCCTCCATAAAACAGCATGTAAGTCACTGCCGCTCTGGGGGCACTTACATCATCCACATTCCTCATTATGTGATGGACTGCTTTCTGCCTCGTTTCACGTTTACTTACGAAGGGTCTGAGGTTCTCAAATACCTTACGATTGAGAATAAAATTGTTCTATTTCAGGATTATCCATTCTACTACATAGGTATTCGGCAAGGAGTCGTGATACCCTTGTTGTTGCTACCGGAGACCTTTTCTTTCAGTATTGGCAGCAACACTTTTGATTGGTTGTTGCCTAGAAACCAGTCTGGGGCAGTTATAGTCTACTTCGGGCATGTAAATGTGAATGTTTTTAATCGCCTGCTACTTGGAGATTCCCAATCAATGAGACATGTCTTGTATATAAGAATGGAGGATCAGCAAATAGGTGGGGTCATGGGCTGAGTCAATGAGAACCTAGTTTTGGGTTTTTTTTTCTTTGCTTTTGTTTTTGTTAACATTTTCTTAAAAAGTAAAAGGAGCTGAAAAGTAAGGCCAGGGGGATGTGGCCATGATAATCATTTTAATACAGAGACTGTCCATCCCAGACCATGGAGGAGAGCAGGGCATTATGGCAGAGTGTGGACTCTGGATTCATACAGATCTGAGCTTGATTTTGGACTCAGAGCCTCAGTCTCCTCATCTGTAAAATGGGGAATATAAGAGCATACCCCCTAAAAGTGTATTATGTGATGATAAAATGATATAACATTTGCGGAGTTCTTACCTGGGGTGTAACTTGCTAAATGGTAGCTGCTTGTATTACTCTTGCTGCTGTGTTAAAGATTAGATGCCACAATGTTGTTTTCTTCATGCAGGCATGCCAAGGATGGTCCCAAAGATAGAGGATTTGCCGGATCACATAGAAGTTAACAGTGGTAAATTTAATCCCATCTGCAAGGCGTCTGGCTGGCCACTGCCTGCTAATGAAGAAATGACTCTCGTGAAGCCGGATGGAACGGTGCTCCATGTAAGAGTCATTCATAACCTGTCTCCTGACACCACTAGATGCTTTCTATGCAGTAATCCCCTCACTAAAGGCTAGATTCCACACAGGGCTTGTGTCCTCCTAAGCCAGTGTACTGTTAGCTTTGACAAAATGCCATGTCTCTGGGGAGGTAGAGCAGATTCAACACAGCCTGGCCAGAGCTACGGTGCAAGGTTGGAAATAGACCACCACAGTCTATCCACCAAGGCTGGCACTCATCCTGCAGAACTTTCCAACTGTGTGTGTTGAGAAGTATGTGTCAGCCTGTGCAAGGCTCGGCCCCCTGAACTATCCCCATGTTCTAACTTCTCCTATCAGGAAGAATGAGGTGGTCTTGTGGCCACCAAAGTGTGTGGCAAGGTAGGTGTGGCCCCATGAATCAGCAGGAGATTCGTGTGTTACCCCCCAGTGCTATCAGGAAATGGTGCTTTGATGACTGGTCTACTTCTACAATGCTTTTGGGAGCAAAAATTAGCAGTGTGTAAAAGAGGGGAGTTCAGCACAGTCCTTTTGACTCTAGATGAATCTGCTCCCACATTTCCTGTTCAGAAACCATGATCCATGGAATCCCTTGGATCTGAGGACATTCCTTGGCCCTCCTACTACTTCACTCTGCCCTTGCTGGCGCTCAGCTCTGGTTAGTGTGCTGTCATAGCAGTTCTTCTCTGCTGGAAAGGACTAAACAACTTCTCCAATATGTTTGCCTCTTTTCTCCCAACAATCCCAAATGCAGCACAGACAGGACTTCCCCAAATTTCTCTGTGTCACAAGTGATCAGAAAGTTGATGTATTTTCTTATCCAAAGATTTTGAAGTGGTTACCTTTTTTTTCTCTCAAAGATGATTGAACATCACCTTGACAATAGGGTAGATGTGAGTGACCTCTTGAGGGCAGGATAGGTAGAAAATGTGCCATTACTGGTGTCGACACATCAGATGTTCTTGATTCCACTCAAAGAATTCATTAGGTAGTGAAACAAACTGACAGCTTCTTCAAATCTTGTTGGCCTTTTCACGAGTTATTGGAAGTAAGAGCTACCATCTAGTGAGGGTCAACCATACTGTATACAACATGTTGCTAAGCATTACCTGTTCCCTTCTTGTAGAAGTGGAAATTGGCTGGGTGAAGTTGAGTAATTAAGAAATTGGTGAAAAGTGACAGAGCAGGGATGTGACTTGAGGTTCATTTGTCCTCAGAGCCCTGATTTTTCCCACAACACCACACTTGACAGCTCCTCAATCATTTTAGGAAGCCATTTTGTCCTCTCACCAGCCATCTCCGTATTAAACCGGGAAGGAACAAATGTTACCAGAAGCTCTTTAAAATAATTAGATTCCTAGCTTGTAAGTGTTTACCCCACACTCCCAAACATACAAACACAACAGCAGGATCTGAGAGGGCATCTATCCAATATAAACTTTCAGGGCTACTACAATAGCTTTGGAAATAAGCCAATGATTATACTAGCATTGCATTTGGTTTCTTAATCTCTCCTAGAAAACTTCTTATCAAACAATGAGGTGGGGTCAGTGTTATGGACCTTTCGTGTGTTTTGCCTCCCTAGAAGCTTTTATTTGTATTCATCCCTTCCAGCCAAAAGACTTCAACCATACGGGTCATCTGTCAGTGGCCACATTCACCATCCACCGGATCCTCCCCCCTGACTCAGGGGTCTGGGTCTGCAGTGTGAACACAGTGGCTGGGATGGTGGAAAAGCCTTTCAACATTTCTGTTAAAGGTAAGCTCCATTTTATAGAAGTAGAGCTTGTATCCTTTATGTATCATTGGGTGCTGCTCCAAGATAGAAATGTTATCTGAGCACTAAGATGACGTTAGGATATTTTCCAGGATAGGAAATCTTAACAACTTTTTATTTTTTTATTTATTTATTTTTTTTTATATATGAAATTTATTGTCAAA